GCCCTGAGGAGCAGGGAGATCATAGAATTTCCATCCCCCTCCCCTCTTGGGAGGAAACCCTAGCATCTCAGCAGGAGGAATCACACTCATTCGGAAGCAATCCAGAAGATGAACCACTGATAAGCAAACCAATTAAACTGCTTACCCTCCCCTTAAGACTATTTATCCCAAACCGGGACAGGGAGATAAATATCTCCGCTCTAGTGGACTCAGGGTGCACCCATTGTTTGATCAGCCCAACCCTAGTAGGGAAGTTGGGGATGAAAGCTGAAAAACCCCATCGCTTTCTGCCAACTAGATGGGTCAATAGCAGGAGGGGAGCCAGTTCTTTTGCCACTGAGCCTCTACATATAGGCATCGGAAACCACAAGGAAATACTTACATTTATAGTGGCACCTGGCATGGAATGGTCATTAGTTTTGGGCCTTGCATGGCTGAAAAAAATGGAACCCAAAATCAGTTGGAAACAAGGCATCATAACATTTCAGATGCACATGACTTTTGCTGAGAATCCACATAAAGGAACTGTGGGGGCAGAGAACCTAGAAACAGCCATGCCTGGTCACACCATGCCAATTGAGGGCATACCCATAGAATACAAAGATTTGGCTGAAGTTTTTAGCAAAAAAGCCTCAGACGAGCTCCCTCCCCACTGCGCCACTGACTGTGCGATAGAAATCTTACCCGGAGCTAAACTCTCTAAACCCAAGATGTACAGCATGTCACCGAGGGAGTTGGAAGAGCTGAAAACATTTATTGAGAAAAACCTAGCAACGGGTTTCATTGAGCCAGCCCAATTAAAAATTGCAGCTCCAGTGTTATTTAGAGAAAAAAAAGATGGCTCAAAACGTCTATGTGTTGATTTTAGAAATTTAAATACAATCAGTGTGGAGAACATGTATCCCCTTCCCCTTTTAAAGATATGCTAGCACACCTCGCTAAAGGGAACATTTTTTTCAAAGCTAGACTTAAGGGAGGCTTACTACTGTGTCAGAATTAAGGAGGGGGACGAGTGGAAAACGGCATTTAACACTCCCCTTGGCTGCTACCAATTCAAAGTGCTCCCCTTTGGGTTACAAGGAGCCCCTGCAGTGTTTATGCAGTTAATAAATGAAGTGCTACATCAGCATTTGTATAAGGGGGTCCTAGTCTACTTGGACGACATTTTAATCTATACTGAGATCAAAGCAGAACATGTAAAACTAGTCAGGGCGGTTTTAAACAAACTTCACTCTGCCAAACTTTATGCTAAACTTTCCAAATGTGAATTCCACCAAGAGAAGATTGACTATTTGGGGTACCACATTTCACACCAGGGGGTTGAGATGGACCCTCAAAAAGTGCAGGCTGTACTTGATTGGGAACCACCACGCATGCGTAAACAGTTACAAAACTTCCTGGGATTTGCCAACTTTTACCGTCAGTTATCCCTGCTTTCGCTCAGATTGCCCTCCCCATCACCAAGCTCTTAAAAATGAAGGGGGAGGGCAATCCTAAACTGAAGCAGCCGTTGAACTGGACTATGGAATGCCAGGCGGCATTTGAAATATATAAATGGTTGTTCTCAGCAGAACCAATTCTAAAACACCCGGACACGGAGGAACCATTTGTCATACAAGCAGATACCAGTGATGTGGCAATAGGAGCGGTCCTGCTTCAGAAAAATGAGCATGACAAGCTACAACCATGCGCTTATACATCCAAAAAGTTGAATGAGACTGAGCAAAGGTGGACCATTTGGGAGAAAGGGGTTTATGCAGTTCGTTGGGCACTGTTAACCTGGAGGCATTTCCTAGAAGGAAGTAAGAGCCCTTTTGAAGTCTGGACTGATCATAAAAATTTAGAAGCCCTAAAGACCCCCAAGGAAACTCTCCCCAAAACAAGTACGATGGGCTCAGTACTTTAAACGGTTTGATTTTATTCTAAAATACCTCCTGGGGGGGAGGAACTTTCTGGCAGATGCACTATCCAGAAAACCACAATACAATAGTGCGTAGTCAGACGTAATCAAACCTATAGTACAAAACAATCAACTAGCCGCTAAAGTAATCACCAGATCCCAGGCAAAACAAGAAACATTGACAGACAATGACACCACCCAAACTTTTAAACAAGCATTGGCTACCGATGAATGGTTTTTGAACAACAAATCCAGCTGTCTGATGAAAGAAGACTTGGCTTGGGTGGGAGGGAAGTTGTATGTTCCAGCCAGCCAAAGACTATGCTTAATGGTAAGGTGCCATGACTCCAGATTAACTGGACATTTTGGGTTTCTGAAAATTTTGCACCTTATTAAAAGACAATTTTGGTGGCCATCACTAAAAAAGGACATAGAAAGCTATGTAGCTAGCTGCCCCATTTGTGCAGCAGCAAAAAGACATCAGGAGAAATCCCCAGGTCTATTGCAGAAGGTAGCTGAACCTTCAGCGCCTTGGAGAGAGATTGCTATGGATTTCATTGTAGAATTGCCAAACAGTGAGGGAAATACTGTTATTTGGGTCGTGACAGACCTGTTTTCAAAACAGGCACATTTTATACCCTGCCAAAAGATCCCAACTGCTAAAGGTTTAGCCAAATTATTCCTAATACACATTTATTGACTTCATGGAGCTCCACAAAGGGTCATCTCCGACAGAAGGGTTCAATTCACCTCCAAATTTTGGAGGGCATTTTTGGACTTGGTACTGGCCAGGGGTTGAGCTCCTCACATCACCCTTGTACTAATCGAAATTCTGAAAAATTTAACTCGGTACTAGAACAATATTTAAGATGTTTTATTAATTTTCAACAGGATAACTGGACCGAACTTTTGCCTTTTGCTGAAGTTGCGTTTAATAATGCTGTCCATTCAAGCACTGGTTTTACCCCTTTAGAGTAGCGACAGGCCAGGATTTCAGTCCCACGCCTGAACTACCCACAGAAGAAGAACCTACATCCCCTCACTTAAGGAGTGGATGGATAATTTGTAAAACACATGGCCAGTGGTTAGATTAGCCTTAAAGGAAGCTAGAGAGGCTTTTAAAATTCAAGCTGACAAGAAAAGGATGGAACCTAAACTTTTTCGTGTTGGAGACAGAGTATACTTATCTCAAAATTCCTGAAATCATTACAACCATCAAAGAAACTAGGGCCAAAGTTCATTGGACCTTTCCCCATCACTAGTTATCAATCCAGTAGCAGTTGAACTACTCCTTCCAAAGACACTCAGGCAAGTCCACCCAGTATTCCACATTAGTTTACTCAAACGAGAAGTAATCTCATCCCTCAGACCACCTGAATCTACACCACCTGTTCCCATCATGATTGAAGCTGAACAACACTTTGAAATCAAGGAAATCCTTGACTCTAGGACCCACAGAGGGAAAATCCAATACTTAGTCGCTTGGAAACATTTACCATCAGCCCACAACGAATGGGTCGCTAAACATCACGTTAGGGCTCCAATGTTACTGAGAAAATTTCACACCCAATATCCTAACAAACCTTGTTAATATACTATCATGAAATTTTGTTTATATTTGTTTTTTAGAGGTGGACCCTTTTGTTTTCTAAGGAAGGTAGCATGTCAGATCCCTAAAAGTGATACTGCCATTCAATTGGGAGAAGGGGGAGGCTTGGATTCGATTTAATAGTATTGCCTGTGTCAACAGATATTTTACAACCTATATCCTGGTGTCAAGAGCCCTGAGATCCCCTTAAGGTGGAGGAATGTTTATGACAGCCATGTGGGCTGTTTCACTTTAAAGGATAACGATGTGAATACATGTTTATTCAGGTTCTCAGGGCAGCTAGTAAAGAAAACATCTTCACACTTGTGTATTGGCTAAAATCTGCATTCTGGCTTAAGGGAGAGGTCACTACTGCTTTAATCCTACTTGTCTTGCCTAAGGGTATTCAGACCTTGCTTTGACTTCATTGCTGTCCCTTCTGCTTAATAAAAAGATTTATTTTGAAATATTACATTTTAAGAGGTTTTACTTTCTTAAGTTGGAAGGAGAGGCAATCCTTGGATCTTTCATTGACTGGTAAATTCTGGACAAAATCTTGGAATAGGTGTCCCCTAGTATCTTTGGATTTTCTACATTTGTTTTATATCCTGAGAATTCACTAAACCTTTGTTTTCATCAGCTGTCTTTTTGCTGTTGCATAATAATTACTACTACATCATTCACATAGTACAAATTTTATAATCATTTGGTAGGGAGATTGCTCTATATCATGGTTTCTCAGAATCATTCTTGCCTTTAGGAACCAAAATTATGTATGCTTCTTCCCATGTTTAGAGTATTGCCTTTGTGTAATTTCATTTTTCTGATTTTGTCAGCAGTTTTAGTAATTCATCCTTCAATTCTTTATAAAATTGAGCTTTGTTTTATTTATTCTCAAATTCTTCAATATTTATAAGTTTACTTAATATTTGTCTATATTCTTTAAATCCTTTGGGTCCTCATTATTTATTCAAACATGCTTGATTAATGTCACCATTAGCACATAATTTCCTGAAAAAAATCTGCAAATTCTTCTGTGATACCCGATCTTGGGCATAGCAATTTATTTTCTTTCTTTATTGGCAATATTGTCTTTTTTTTTTCTCATCTAGTGAGACAAAGTTTTCCCTAGTTTATTAGTGTTCTCAAAATTATTTTGTTTGGCAAAATTGATCTTTTGTAATTTTTTTGTTTTGAATAAATATAGTTATTGTTTGGCTTTTAGGTTGTAAAATATCTCGACACAGGCAATGCTAATAAATCGAATGCAAGTCTCCCCCATTCTCCAATTGAATGGCAGTATCACTTTTAGGGATCTGACAGCCAGAAGAGTGAGGGCCAAGATGTTCCATAGGGTAGGGATATATATTTAATGATCTAATTTGGCTGCTCTTTTTTTTACTTTCAATACAAAGTGTTACAAGGTTTTACAATGCAAGGTTTTACAATCCTTTTTTCTTTCCTTCATATAGTTTTTATTTCTCATGCTGTTTTGTGATCTTGGATTTGCAGGGCCAAGAAGATTCAAGCAGAGGATCTGATAATTCTAGTTATGATGAAACCCTCTCCCCCACATCACCGGGACCTCTTTCAGTGAGAACTAGTCATGGAGAGCGAGACCTTGTCAATTCCAGCATGACTCAGCCCATTTCTGACTTGCATGGTATCAATCCAGTTTTCCTATCCAGCAATCCTAGCCTCTGGAGTGTGGAAGAAGTATATGAGTTCATTGCATCCCTACAAGGCAAGTCTGTATCTTTTCTCCCATGCCCTGAAAAGAAGGAGTGGGGTAAATGGCTGTATATTGGACACCTAAATATTGGCATGAATAAGGTGTTGGTAGATTTGAAATACCGTATTTTCCGGCGTATAAGACGACTGGGCGTATAAGATGACCCCTGAATTTTCCTGTTAAAATATAGGGTTTGGGCTATACTCGCGATATAGGACTACCCCTCTTCCAACGCACACCAAATAAAAATTAAAAAACATCAACTGGCTCACCCACAATGTAAAAGCAGCTGTGCTAGACCCAAAATGGCCCCTGAAACAAGCAGGAACCTCACACAGCCACAAAAAGCCCAAAAAAAAAACAACCTTCACACTTTACAACACAACTGGCTCACCCACAATGTAAAAGCAGCTGTGCTAGACCCAAAATGGCCCCTGCAACAAGCAGGAACCTCACACAGCCACAAAAAGCCAAAAAAAACCAACTTTCACACTTTACACACACACAACACAACACAACTGGCTCACCCACAATGTAAAAGCAGCTGTGCTAGACCCAAAATGGCCCCTGAAACAAGCAGGAACCTCACACAGCCACAAAAAGCCAAAAAAAACCCCAACTTTCACACTTTACACACACACAACACAACACAATACAACTGGCTCACCCACAATGTAAAAGCAGCTGTGCTAGACCCAAAATGGCCCCTGCAACAAGCAGGAATCTCACACAGCCACAAAAAGCCCCAAAATCCAACTTTCACACTTTACACACACAAAATTCCACATACAGCTTTGTGAGATTTTGTGTGTTTGTGTAGTTAGAGTGAAACACTACAGAAACACACTAAATCTCAGAAAGCTGCACAAATATTTTATTTTTATTTTTATATAAAGCTAAATTTAAAACTTCCTAAACTTTAAATGGCTAGGTCTAAAAAAGAACAACTAAAAAAAACCCCAATTAACTATTTTTTTTTAAAGATCCCAAAGGGGAAAAAAACTTACCCAATAGAACAGGGGTCTCCAAACTTGGCAACTTTAAGACTTGTAGACTTCAACTCCCAGAATTCCTCAGCCAGCTTTGTTTTGCTGGCTGAGGAATTCTGGGAGTTGAAGTCCACAACTCCCTGCCTGCTTGATTCAGGCAAGCGAAGCAAGGCAAGCGAAGCAAGGCAAGCAGCTAAGGTAAGCAAGCTGGAGGGGGAAAACTTTTTTCCTTCTCCATGGCTCTGGCGATCCCAGCTGAGTTGCCTGATTAGCAGATTGTCAGAGCTTGGATCGCCAGAGCCATGTGAAAGGAGAAAAGTTTTTTCCTTCTCCATGGCTCTGGCGATCCCAGCTGCGTTGCCTGATTAGCAGATCATCAAAGCTTGGATCACCAGAGCCATTTAAGGCTCGTCAGAGCCTTTTGGGCTGGTCTGCCTGGTTACAGGAGAACGACACCCGGCGTATAAGACGACCCCCGACTTTTGAGAAGATTTTCATGTGTTAAAAAGTCGTCTTATACGCCGGGAAATACGGTAGTAATTATATTGGGCATGACATTTTCCTATATTGGACTGGGTTGCTGCCTTCTCAGGCTCAGCATGACATTTAGCAAACTCCTAAGTTCTCCCTCTCCCTCCTAAAAAGGTTGGAGTTGGGCAAAATGAAGTGTTAGAGGAGGCAGTTCACAAAAGGAGCCTTCCTTCCACACAACTGTTATTGTTGGAGCTAGATAGATCTAACAGATATACTATTTGCCAATATCCAGGAACTCTGAAAGGGAGTATTATTTATTTTTCCTTCTATCCTTTATTATTTTTAAACGTAACTCAAGGTAGAAAACATTTTAATATAACAAAATGGCTTTATCTCATTAAATTGTAGTTTTGTCAGTAATAGTGACAGAACCATTATCTATGCTTCTCATCTCTATGGAAATAATATGGGGATTTTGCAGGGGTGTTAAGATAATTAATCACAATAGAACTGGAAGGGACCTTGGAGGTCTTCTAGTCCAAACCTCTGCTCAGGGAGACCCTATACCATTTCAGACAGGTGGCTGTCTAGTCTTTTCTTAAAAACCTCCAGTGATGAAGCACCAATAACTTCGGAAGGCAAGCTGTTTCACTGGTTAATTGTCCTCACTGTTTCTCAATTCCAGGTTGCTTCTCTTCTTGATTAGTTTCCATACAGTTTCTTGTCTTGTCTTCTGGTGCTTTGGAAAATAAGTTGACTCCCTCTTGTTTGTGACAGCCCCTCAAATACTGTAATACTGCTATCATGTCACCCTTAGTCCTTTTTTTCTCTAGACTAGCCAAACCCAAATCCTGCAGCTGTTCTTCATATGGTTTTGTCTCCAGGCCCTTCTTAGTTAATCTTAATCAACTTAGTTGTTCTTTGCACTTTTTCCAAAGTCTCAACATTTTTATTGTAATGCAATATTCCGGGTGTGGCCTTACTGAGGATTTATAAAGCAATACTAATACTTCACCTGATTTGGATTCCATGCCTCCATTTATACAACCCAGGATTATATTAACTTTTTTGGCTGCCGCCACACACTGCTAACTCAAGTTTAAGTGATCATCCACTAGGACTCCAAGGTCCCTCTTACAGTTACTGTTTTTGAGCCAGGTTTAGACACAAATGCAAGATACATGAGTCACAGCAAGTGGAACCACTTAGTGTAGTATTAAAGTTTATAAAGCTAAACTGAGTCAGAACTGGATGGGAGAATAATAAATCCCAGGTTGGTAGACCAGACTAGAAAGTAAAAAAGGAAGCAAACTCCCAGAAGGCATCAATGGCAAACCATTTCCTCATTATTGCCACTATTATATTGAAGAAAATAAACTTGACTCAAGTCTTTTTAAATCGTGTTCGAATATAAAACTTAGATTCTTACAAATATTGAATTAATCTATAAACACTATTACATATGTGTATAGTTTCTATTTCTCACAAAATTCTCTCTGGTATTTAAATCTATTAGGCTGCCAGGAGATTGCAGAGGAATTTCGCTCCCAGGAGATAGATGGCCAGGCCTTGCTTCTGCTAAAAGAAGAACATCTCATGAGTGCCATGAATATCAAATTGGGTCCAGCTCTCAAAATCTGTGCCAAAATCAACATTCTTAAAGAGACCTAACACTGGAATGCAGATTTTCTTTCTTTCCTAGCTATAATGAATACACTAAATGTAAGAAAAAAATTCTTTCAAAAGCCTGTGTCATGGTGATACTTGGGGAGGAATAACTCCCTTGGAGGCCTTGAAACATCTCATCAAAAGCATAGAATATCTTCTGCTGTGCTATGAATTGTTCCTGATGGAAAAAGGCAAAAAAAAGTTCTACGCTGCAGCTGCTGTGAATCCTTCCTGTCAAGTTGCTGGATTCTCATATTTTTCTCCCAGTAGAATCGTTCTTTCCACATGGTTTCAATTTTCAGGGGACCAATTGGTACTGAATCTTTTCTCTTGCTAAAGGCTTGTTTGGAACAGTAAAGAAATTAGTTTTAAATGACATCTTTTCTAATTGAAGTGTTGATTGAAGGTAAGTAGTAAATTGATTTCATATAGAATACTGGAATGAACGTTAATTGAACATTAAAGACTAGAGCTGGCCCAGGTCTAATGGGACCCTCCAGAAGACATTATTTCTGATACCACCATCAGAGGGTTTAAATATTAATTCCACTTGTGTCTCTTGTGGTGTTTGGAGAAAAATTACTCAAGAGCCAAAGGAGAATCCAACGCTATTGAAGCTCCAAGTGTTTCATCCTGCTTTTAAAAAAACTGTCTTCTTTGGGTTTTGTATTTTACCCTTTCCCTTACGAGAGAGCATATGGGACAAACTTTCTGCTATCAGGTTTGTATCTTCTGTCCAAAGCCTGTTTATTTTTGTTTATTAAGCAAATTATTCAGTAAAAGGAATGCTTCATAAACATTATTGCAATCTTCCTGTTGTCTGATTTTTCTCACCAGCTTTTGCACAATCAGGTTTGCAGCTTGTTTTGAATTCTCACAAGTTTGTTATTAGTCCCTGAATTTAAATTTTAAAAATGATTTTCGGATCTATTTGTAAAAGTAAAATGTATATCCATACAAAATTTTTAAAATATCTTTTAATTTAGATTCCTGTTCTGGAATCTATACATCTTCAGGTGAACTTTTATTCTAACAATTTAGAATAATATTTAATTTCATTGTTCTGCCAATATATTTGAAACAAACTTGTAAAACTGTATTTTTAAATTAATTTGAATAATTATTTCAAAACGTCAATCTCTTAAGAATAAACTTAGGATAGCCAGGGCTTTTTGATAAGATGATTTTCCACTCCTTCCCTTCTATTTATAGTTTAGCATTTTTTAAAAAAAAATTGAACAGAGGAGCAGCAAACAAATAGGGAAATGTACTTTGCTTATTATGTTGTTCATATTTTCTAGAGATATTTAATATAGACCATTACTAAAATATGTAACTATCATAATTTATGGTAACATGCTGAATAAGGTAGCCTAATATGAATTTAACAGAAAAACTTGGAAATTTTTTATTTTCTAGTAGAAATGTTAGCATCCTATAAAATGCAAAGCTTACCTTGGACTAGAAGAAGAGTTTACAATGCCAGCATTGAAAGGTTTTCTTTCTTGAAGTGCAGTTCTATTGTTTTTTATATTCATATCTACTATGATCCAAATTAATGAAAAAATGTATATGATATCTTTCAGCTTCTAGACTTAGCCCACACTTATCATCAGAGTTGTTCCAGCCCTATTTCCTACCATTGAACCTCTTTTCATTTGATTTAGGCCTGTAGGATGTGTAAATGTCTTCCAAAGAAAGGTTAGCACAAAACTACATTGAGTTCATGACTCTGTTTTCAACTAAAATGTGTTTAGCTGTAATTCACAAACTGTTTGGAAACATTTAAGCATACACATATTTTGAAATTTCAAGTCATTTTTAATGTTAAAATTGCATCTCTTTTATACAAAATCTTTTAAACTTTACTATGAAAAAATAACATAAGTAATGGTCCATTTCTTTTCTCTTATAAGAGAGCCTGGCAAAGAGGGCTATACTATGTCTCAAATCTTATCTCAGCTACAGTACTTCTTCATAAAAGGAGTAAGAATAGATATAACCTATAGATATACCTGGAGATTTACTCCCAATTAGATCCATCAATTCCACTAGGAAGAGACCAAGTAAAGATGTAACTATTTATTTCCCCTCACTTCCCCAAAAGCTAATATTCCCAGCAAGTTCAAGTGAATTCAGGAGTCCTAATTGCATTTTAAATGCAATTTAGAGAATTGTCATTAAGAAATAGTACAACATGCACCAAAGAAAAGGAAGCAAATCCCTGAAGCAAACAGACCTGTCACATTCTATCTTTAAAAAAAAAAAGCATATATAGGAACAGATCAGATTTGACACTATTCATACTTATAAGCAGAAATATAAGCATTAACATTCACCAGTTTTAAAAATATTCAGTCCAAACACTAAAATAGTTTGAACAGAACCAGAAAAACATTGTCCACAGAGATTTTGAGGTTTCCTACCCTATCTTTTTTGGTTAAAAATCTTTTTCACTGTTGGACTCTGTATTTTATATAATTTGCAACTGCTGGCACTGTCCTATTTGTAATGAAAATGAAAGACCAGCTTTTGTGTTTAAAACAGCAGGGTTAGTTATTAAAAGTCTGCCCTTTTAAATGTTTTAAAATATTGCCATTTAAATTTAGACCATTTAAATATGTTGCTGACAGTATCCTTTCTAGCTAACATTTCCCCCTCCCCTTAACGGACTATTTTCCTTTGTTAAGAAAATATAGGTATTTCCATTTGGTCTACTGTCTCTCCACAGATTATAAAAAAATTATGTAACTGCATAATTGAAAATCAGAATCCAGTGTTTTTGAAGAGTAAAGCCTGTAGGAAATATGCAAGTACATTCAGTCACTGTAGCTCAAAACCTTTTAGTATTACTTCAGATCATTTCCTCTTCCATGGATTACTTCTTTTCTGTGTATCTTCAAACTGTCACACGACCCTTCCCTTTTGGAAAATGGTTCTGAGCAATCAGTCCAAAACTCCTTAGTACAGCTTTATGTTCATAAACCTTGCACAGAATTTATTTGTATCACAAATATGAAAAATAGTGTGGGTATTTAAAAGTGAAAGCAAGTGGCTTAAAAGGACAATTAGATGAGAGGAAAACTGAGTGGATGTCATTTGTGTAAGAACTGTACACAAATAAAAGGTGCATATCACATGGGCAGCAAGTGGTCATCTTGCTCTTCTGATTCCTCTCCAAGCTGGTCATCACCAACACCACGATATGCAGCTGGTACATTCTGTGGTTTAGAACGGCACATGAAATCACAGCCATCCTGCAAACAGATTAATGAAGTAAAATATCAAAGAACAGTAATATCAAACCTGCAACTGAAAAAGTTTTATTTCTCCAATTACTTTGCTCTGATTTTGTTTTTTTAATATGGAGTGAACAAGAGCGCAATCCTAGCATGAGAAAAATGCCTAACTATCTTACTAAATATTGGGCATTAGTGATTTAAGTATCAATAATTTATAGCAGAAACTTTAGAAATTGATTCAAAAAACACTTCATGGATATATTTATCACCCTTACAAGATTCATTATGATTAGTCTACTTTCCCCCGTTGCCAGTGCCTGAGAAGAAAACAATGTTAAACCAAAGTGTAGTTAGTTTGCTTTTGGTACTTGTTAGTGATTGGGTAGGGGCACCAAAACCCCCAATAAATTGATGATCTATTATTTCAAAATACTACAATGATTTAGGTTTAATTATTTATATAATAAGGCATGGAACCAGATACATTCCAATATCAAAGCAGAGCTTTGAGCATAGGGATCACTTATACTAAGAGTCTAGAAAAGAGCAACAAAGATGCTAAGAGGTCTGGAGACTAACCATAGGATGAACAATTAAGAGAATTAGACATGTCTAGTCTAACAAAGAGGTTATGATAACAGTCCTCCGGTACATGAGGAGCTGTCACAGAGAAGAGAGGATCTTATTCTCCAAAGGTCCTGAGGACAGGACAAGAAGTAATGGGTGAAAGCTCAATTAGAGATCCAACCTACAACTAAGGAGAAACTCCCTGACAGAACAATTAATCAGTGGAACTCCAGAAGTTGTGGATCATTTTCAAGGAGACAGCCATTTTTCCAGAATGACACAGGTAGTCCTTGGCTTACAACAGTTCATTTAGTGATCGTTCGAAGTTACAACAGCACTGAAAAAAGGGGCTTATGACCATTTTTCATACTTATGATCCTTGCAGCATCCCCAAGGTCATGTGATCAAAATTGAGGCACTTGGCAACTGACTCATGTTTATGACAGTTGCAATGTCCTGGGGTCATGTGATCCCCTTTTGTGACATTTTGACCAGAAAAATCAATGGGGAAGCCAGATTAACAACTGAGTTACTAATTTAACTACAATGATTCGCTTAACAACTATAGCAAGAAAGTTTGTAAATTGGGACAAAATTCACTTAACAAATGTCTCACTCAGCAACAGAAATTTTGGGCTTAATTGTCATAAGACAAGGACTTCCAAGGTTCTTCCCAACTCTTTTATTCTATCTTCTGTGTCCTAACTATAAAAGCTCATTGTACATGACAAAAGTAACATCTGTAGCCTTCCTTCAGAGAATAGTTCTATCAAAATTATACCAAGAGTTTGGACCTCTGCTCTTAGATTGATGCAGCCTTGGAAAGAGCCCTTTCTTAATTCACATTCTTTTTATTTATTTATTTTTATTAAATTTATATGCCGCCCTTCTCCCGTAGGACTCGGGGCGGCGCACAGAATTAAAAACATATAACAATAAAAATCCTAAAAACAGCCAATATAAAACCCCAAACAGAATAATAATCATATAAATAATCGAATAAAATCTCGTAACAGATCAGGGAAATTGCTGAAACAGCTATGTCTTCAGGGCGGTGCGGAAAGTGCGGAGGTCAGGGGCCGTCCGGAGCCCGATGGGTAACTCATTCCAGAGGGTCGCTGCGGCCACTGAGAACGCCCTCATCCTGGGGGCCACCAGCCGACATTGTCTGGCCGATGGTACTCAGAGGAGGGCAGCCCTAGGTGACCGCACAGGGCGGTGGGAGGCCAGTAGGAGGTGGTCCTGCAAGTACCCCGGGCCCATGCCATGTAGGGCTTTATAGGTAAGAACCAGCACCTTGAAGCGGATCCGAAGAACAACCGGCAGCCAGTGCAGATCGCTCAGGAGAGGTGTCACACGGGAGTAACGGGAAGCTCCCATAACAACCCGTGCGGCCGCATTCTGGACCAGCTGGAGCCTCCGGGTGTACCGGAGTAAGCTAATATTTACTTATTTGAATGAATCAAAGAGAGTACAATAAAATGTACCTGTAATTAAGATTCTTCAAATGCTGAATGTGAATTCATATAACACACCCTTCTATCCTGATTCTTTTTTCTTGAGTCAACAACTGAGTTTCAATCTAATAAATAATTAGACTGATTCATATTTATGGCCATTGCTTTTTCCTAAGGTCGTATGATATTATTTTGCAACCTTCTGACAAGCAAAGTCAATGGGGAAGCCACATTCACTTAGCAACTGGGTTACTGATTTATCAACTGCAGTGATTCATTTAACAACTGTGGCAAGAAAGTTTGTAAATTCACTTAAATGTCTCACTTAACAAATTGTCATAAGTTGAGGACTACCTGTATAGTCATATGAGGTCATACTTTACAAGTGCATCACTTAGTGGTGGAAGTTCCAGATCCACTTGTTAACTGAAGACTATCCGTAACTTAAAATACACTTACAGCTACTAGATTGCCAAGATCTTGCCAGAAAGCAAAATGGGGAAACTGTTCCATGCCCTTTGCTCCTACTATCAGACGCTGGTAGAGGAATCCTCCAATAATGTATACTGCAATCAGTGAGGAAAATCTGAAAGAAAACAAATACTAACGAGATTCACATACAAAATATAACATTAAAAAATAAAATACAAATGTATATACCCATGGCTGTTCTAGAGATACAAGATGACTACATATTAGGTCTGAATATGATTCAGATTCATTTTCAAAATGTCACTTTAGATACATAGGCTGCAAATGTAGCATCTGTCTGTAAATTCCTAAAAAGCATGTTAACAAAGAAAAATCATTTTGTATATAAACCAGTGCCACAAGAGGAAAAAATGAGATTAAAATATTTACTAATTATATGGAGAATAGCAAGTAGCATATTCAAGCTAAGTCTCTTAGGTACAATTACTATTTCCTATGATAGCAGAAGAGAAACAATACTGAAAGAGATCAGACAATAATAACAGAAAAAACGAAGTGCATTGAAGAACTAACAAAAATCCTAAAGTTCATGTCACATATATGTAATATGTATGACAAATACATACACACTGTTATGGTAGTATCCAGATAATAAAAGCCCAACTGATAAATCAGTTTAACACACTTATTTTCATACCCCAATTCAAGCATATTTGTAATAGAGAAGTTCTTTTTTAAAAGTATAACTGCTACACAGGAATATATTTTAAAAAGCAACAGCTTCCTGTCATCCTTCTACACCCAAATCAAGTAATTCAAAATTGTAGTTCAAATGAGAATCTAAGTTTTAATTGTCCTATTACTTATTAAATGTAGAATAATGTGTGCTAGCTCTCCCTCCCTACAGTGGGATGATGGCAGCACTATTACCAATAAGGGTATACAGGACATTCTTTGCACAGGAGAGCTGGCTTGAGGTGGACTGTACTCATAGAGTTACCCTATGGTAAGATGGACAGCCAATAAATTTGATAAATAAAATAGAGATACACATATATTCTGTGGATGCAGATTCAAGAAATATATTCTGGGTAGAGGCCGAGAGTAAACAGGACAAAAAGGATATACCCAGTAGGCAAATGAGAGGAACTATAGAAAAGCTGGGAAATACCTATGATTTTCTCTGAACTATAGGTATAGACAAAAATTAGACGACCTACTTTGTTTTAAACATGTAACAAAAGAGCTCCCCATAAAACACCATGTAACCAGATGCTACTCCTCATCTAAGGGCCACAAAAGTAGGTACGGTGGCAATCCATATGGAAAAGTATAGAACATTTGGCTAAAGGCATACTTCTAACTTTTAAAATATTAAAATAAAAAATAAAATAAAAATTAAAGTAAATAAAATATTTAAATATTTTAAAAATATTAAAATAAATAGGAAACATTGGGATCTCTGCTCTCATTAATAGAAAAATCTTAGACTGTTGTTATAAAAATAAAAAATGAAGAGAACTATTTACATTTCTTTAAATGGTTGCTTCTTGGTTGCTCATTAGGCAGAGCTATTTCATTCTTTAACATTTATTTCAATTAGTACTTCTTCCTTATGTAGCTTTTTTAATGTTTTCAATTTTTCAAAAACTTACTTAGATGGTACCAAAAGTGGATTTACAAATAAAAGACCAAGAGAATGCCTTGGAAAAGGATGATTTACTGGAAATACAAAAGAAAATGGGTCAGGTTTAAAAAAAATAAAAAAACAAAAACAAATGACAAATGGATAACTTTTTTTTATTGCATTCACAAAAGAGGCCTATATTAAAGCCTTGAAATTTGTGCAATGGAACAAAGAATTGGAGAGGAATCAAATCCTATGACAATATGCAAATGATACTAAAGATTAAGATTATTAGAAATAAAAGAAATGAATATAAAGTTATATAATATAAAGAGCCCCTGAGGGAGATGGGCAGTTAAGAAATATGAAATCTAAATAAACAAATAGTTGATCCCGGTTAAAATGAGATGTGTTAGTTTGGCAACGTTTTTTACTGGCATGTGAATAGTTGATGCTTTATGGAAGCGTCTATAAATAAGGCATTTTACACAGATTATATTTTATATAATATAATATAAAAAATTAGAAGAGGAACTAGTGGACCATTGTTGAAGAAAATGAATGAAATTCAAATAACAAAAACAATAACAAAGACTGGGAAAGAAGCATATACAATATTAATGCATAAGAACAATTCAAAAAATCTCGGTCATATAAGACCAATTCCTTTATTGAATGTCAATTGTAAGATATTTAATACTACAGGTTGTCCTCGGGTTATATATAATTAACTACTCATTCAGTAACCACTGACGGTTACGATGACACTAAACAATTGGGACTTATGGCTGGTCCTTGAAGTTGCAGCTGTCATAGCACTCCACAGTCACATGATTAAAATTTGAATGCTTGGCAAACAACTTGCACTTGATCACTATTTGCAACCCTCCCTGCTGTCTTCTTATTACAAGCAGTCAGTGGGGAAGACAGCATTGACTTTCTCATCAATAAACCATAGTATCTACCTTCACTTGTGTCATGCCATAGCACCTGTTGTGGCTCCGTTACCTGAGCCTGTGTCATCGGCAGGAGAGGACTCCGAGAGTGAAGGAGAGGAGTTGGCAAGGCCTCCCTCTCCAGGACTCTCCTCTTTGGCAATGCCTTCGGTGTCCGCCGAAGGGCAAGAGATAGGGCCGGGGCCAAGCACGTCCACGCAGCCACAGATGGACAGTGATGAGGGTAATGAGTCTTGGCTGGATCCACGCCAGCGTCGCAGAGATAAGTGCGCGCAACAGAAGAAAAGGTGTGCCCGAGATTAGGCTGAGTCACTGGACCACACCCCACAGGATATAAAAGGGAGTGTGGTGGCCAGTCAAACCTTGTGACAAACAAAGCTGAAAGCTTCCATGCCATTCTGCATTGCCGGACTTTTGCTATAAGACTTAGCTGGACTATCTCTGGACTTGATTACCTCCGTAATTATTGAGCTGTTTCTTTGGATGTATCAGAAGTGGCGAGAAGTTCTCTCTCCTCTTTGTAAATAATAAACTCTTGGCAGGCAACCACTAGGTTGTTGCCAAGTTCCGTTATCTTAAGGAAAAGGATTTTGCCGGCTGGTTTGGTCTTTAACTCCTGAACGTCTGTTGGTGTGTGTGCGTGTGGTTGGGGACAGAACAGCACCCACCCACTTACCTCTTCCCCCCATCTTTGCCCTTTCAGATGTACTGTACAGCGGGGAGGGCAGCTCCTGGGCCACAGACCTATACCGGCCTGTGGCCTCTTAGGAACCAGCCTGCGCAGTTGAAGATAAGTGGCAGGCAAGTGAGCTAAGCTTCATCTGTATTTGCAGCCATGTCCCAGCGCTAGCATCACCGCATCAGCTCCATCTCAGATCATCAGGCATTAGATTCTCATAGGAGCATGAACCCTCCTGTAAACTCTGCACACAATTGATCTAGGTTGCATTCTTCTCCCCACCTCCTGGTCCATGAAAAAATTGTTATCCACGAAACCAGTCCCTGGTACCAAAAAGGTTGGGGGCTACTGTAAAGCATGGCTGAGATGAAGATGCTGCTGTATTCTGCAGTCCCTCCAGCTGACTTTCATTGTCATCATCTTGTCTCTGCTTCCCTGACCCCCAGTGGGCCTGTCCCACTTCAACAGTCTCAGCCCACTGCCAACTGGGAGTCATGAATGCATGCTCAGTGCCATTTCCTCTCCAGCCTCCTCTGCCTTAGCAGTCTATGTAGATGTGGCAAAGCAAAGAAGACAACAAAGTCAATTGGGAGAGGCAGAGAGTGGTAGTGGTGGAATACAGCAGCATCTTCATCTTGGCTCTGCTATGAAAGATGGCCAAAAGGGCAGAGATGGGGGAGATAGGCAGGTGCATGGAGTTCAAGCAGAGAGTTTCTGCAGGTCAGGAGAGCGTGGCTATGAATTGCAACAATCGTAAATGTTGGCTGGTGCCAAGCACCCAAAATTAGATACATACGTGGAGATACTGCAGCTTTGAGGACTTGTAAGAGTATTTGTTCAGTGCCACTGTAAATGATTGCAGAATAAGTGATTGTAACCCAAGGACTACCTATACTTTTTTTTACCATAGTCACGAGGCAACAAATATGATGAACTATGTGCCAGAAGTCAATCACAGATTAGAACAGAATTAGGTTTTGTGACCATAAAAACCAATTGTCATGGCTGCATCTCACCTGGTTTCTGACCGAAACAGTGGGGCTGAGGATAGGGACCAATGTAGAGACTATCCAGTACATTGTGGCCACGGGGATGACCAAGGCCATGATCCTGGGACTTGCATAGTTCAAGAAGTGGAATCCCTCCATAGATTGGAAGTGGAACAGGATGAAAGTACGGAAAAATTTTCTAGCCTGGAAGCAGTGGTGAAAGTGACAAGGAGCCGCCACAAGCCATAAATGAGAAAACCAGAAGTTGCAGGGAAAGCTTGGGTGGGGGAGGAGCCAGACCCATCAATCCCTAAAGAGTACTGGGACCTGACCAAAGTGTTCGATAAAAGAGAGTCTACTTCCACTTCATCACCTCACAGACTATGCAATCAAGATTGTCCTGGGAGCTAAGATGCCAAAACCTAAATTGTACTCAATGATGCCCTGGGAAATGGAAGAACTCCAATCATTCATCAACAAGAATTTAGCCAGGGGCTTCATTCAGCCGACCAAGTCCGGCATGGGTGCTCCTGTTTTCCGAGGGAAAAAAGATGGCTCTCTTAGACTGTGCATAGACTTAATGCCATCTGTGTGGAAAATGCATACCCCCTTCCATTGCTGAACAACATACTGGGCCACTTGGCCAAGGAGAGATTTTCCACCAAATTGAACTTAAAGGGGATGTATTACCGAGGAGTGTGGATTAAGAAGAGGGATGAATGGAAAATGACATGTTGGAGCAATACCTCTGCTGTTACATGAACTACCAGCAAGCTATCTCTTACCCTTTGCTGAGGTTGCCTACAATAATTCAGTACACAGTAGTACGAGATTCACCATCCCAAATGGCCACTGGCCTGGACTTTGTCCCTATGCCATAACTCCCTCAACACACCCCTCAAG